CTTTCCCTCAGGTTTTCCGATTAAAATGTGTGTTGCCGACCTCTTCCGTGCGTGACATACGCCCTTCTTCCTCCTTGTCATTTATTCGATTGAATTTATTTATAGCTCACGGTCTTCAGTCTTCCAGGATGCAATTCATCACCGGTATTATTGTCACGGTTCCGTGGTTTTCCTCAGTGCGCCTGGTGAAGGTCAGGTCATTGTCTGGAACGAGATAGCAAGCTTCTGCAAGGAAGCGTTGTTATGCAAGGGGCAAGTCGACTTCTGACCTTACGCCTTACTCGAAAGAAGTTCCCAGGTCGAGTATATCGCACCGATTAACTGGGGGGCGGGGAGTACTGTGTTTGGGAACTTGTGTTTATTATAATATATAGGAAGATCATTCTTCGGACGCCTGAAGTAAGAACATTTAATTCGGAATATTTTCGAGCTGTGCCGTCACATCCCAAAATGGGACCGAATCTTAGCGACACCTTTCACGTCGTTTCATTTCACTTCTTGCTTTATTAATGAAAGTCTTCGTGGCTTCTGGCACAGACAGCGCCTGGCAACTTGTGCGTAAAAAGGGTTCCGATGGTTGCGGATGTTTAGTTATTGCCCCCCCCCCCCCCCACGCACTTCTTCTCGTGCGTGCTCCGTTGCTGTCACGTGTCTGATTTGGTTTCTCACGGAAAAGCTCTCGTTCGCGTTCGGCAATTTGTTTATGCCTGTACGCGGCTCTGTGCGAATAAATAATGCATAAATAATATGCATTTAAATGGGTATCTGCCCGTCATATTTACACATGTCCGAAACGCGGTTTCATTTGCTTTACAAAAGAGCATCAGATTTCTAACGCGACACACACGCAGGAACAAATATCAGTTTCCATATTCATCAGTCGCAGGGGTGGGGGGTGATTAGGGACGTCAGCATTTCATACCAGGGTGAATTGTCGGGGACCTGGCAATAAGCGAATTAACTAATTGACTTCCGTGCGTCTTGTATCTGTTGCTGAAGTTTAAATTATTCATTGTCAGGACTTTTTCCATCGTCTGTTCTTTAAAATTCACGACGTTTCGGAGGCTGGATCTGTCTCCGTCTTCAGGTGAGAGGTACCTACTCTGTCACTGGACAATATAAATCGTGCAATTATTTCAACTTTTCCACCCAAGTACGGGTTTCTGTCTTCTGGGTTGTTGCGCCGTGTAGTCTGGTCGATGTTAACCAACGTTTTAGAGGTCATACTGCCTCCGTCATCAGGGCGATGAATATGAAGATTTCCGTCTTCTGGGTTGTTGCGCCGTGTAGTCTGGTCGATGTTAACCAACGTTTTAGAGGTCATACTGCCTCCGTCATCAGGGCGATGAATATGAAGATTTCCGTCTTCTGGGTTGTTGCGCCGTGTAGTCTGGTCGATGTTAACCAACGTTTTAGAGGTCATACTGCCTCCGTCATCAGGGCGATGAATATGAAGATTTCCGTCTTCTGGGTTGTTGCGCCGTGTAGTCTGGTCGATGTTAACCAACGTTTTAGAGGTCATACTGCCTCCGTCATCAGGGCGATGAATATGAAGATTTCCGTCTTCTGGGTTGTTGCGCCGTGTAGTCTGGTCGATGTTAACCAACGTTTTAGAGGTCATACTGCCTCCGTCATCAGGGCGATGAATATGAAGATTTCCGTCTTCTGGGTTGTTGCGCCGTGTAGTCTGGTCGATGTTAACCAACGTTTTAGAGGTCATACTGCCTCCGTCATCAGGGCGATGAATATGAAGATTTCCGTCTTCTGGGTTGTTGCGCCGTGTAGTCTGGTCGATGTTAACCAACGTTTTAGAGGTCATACTGCCTCCGTCATCAGGGCGATGAATATGAAGATTTCCGTCTTCTGGGTTGTTGCGCCGTGTAGTCTGGTCGATGTTAACCAACGTTTTAGAGGTCATACTGCCTCCATAATCAGGGCGTCACCTCTGAAACGTCGGTAAACTTCTAGGAGACTATACAGCGCAACAACCCAGAAGTCAGTCATCTTCATTTAATTCGCTTGCTTCAGTTCCTACAGGATTCACCGAAGTATGCGATTTACTGGTTGAAATTGACGAGTGCTCGACAGACGCCGATAGAAATGAGGGCTGAGGCAAGTCTGAAGTCGAGGGTCGAAGTTCCAGCCGAGGCATAGATGTTCGCGCACGTGGGGCACTATGAGGGTACGAGATTTCGGGGGTGAAGACGTCTGAGTTAGCGTTTCCTCCACTCCCCGCTGTATGTTCTTGGCGTTGTGGCCGGACGACCGGGTTTCGATTTCCGGCACTTGTGTCGGAATGTTCTTACGTCCGTCACGTCGAGGTGAAGTTTGAGACTCACCATGGACCTCAGATAACATATCAGGTCTAGAGAAAGGCTCTCTTCCTCTCTGGTATTTATTACGTCTCTGTTGTACGGAGGGCGGGGGGGGAGGGGGTAATCTTTTTACAAGACTTGGTGCTTTATAACTTTAGCTTATCTTGGCTTTATAATTCAAACAAGTTAACTCAGTATTGTAAAGCTACACAACTTACAGCGCACTCTGCCAGTATCTGTAAGAGGCCGTCTTTTTCTTCTTTTCCTTTGATTCGAAGTTTTACCGAGCGCTGTTGTTTGTTGCAGGTGGGCGGGCGGATGCTGACAGCCTGGAAATTGGTAGGTAAGTGGAGAGCAAGTAGCCAAATTTAATTCCGAGGTTGTTTAACTAGATTAGAATAAATCCACCTGCACCGGATATTTGGGTCCGCCAACGTAACGAAAATAAACTTAATTCATGAACTTAGATTGTACTCTGAAGTGTTAGGTCTACATTTGTGGTGGTTGTACCGCTGTGATGACCGGAAGTGTCTTTTGTAGCACGAAGGCGAGGTTTTGAATAGTGGTTCGTCCTGACGCAATTTCATCCCAAATATTTCTACTCTGTCGTCAAAGACTGTGATGTTTTTGTCTCTGGAACAACAAGTGTGTATTATTGTAGGCTTAATAAAACAATTCAGCGGACACATTTAGAATTTGAGACGGAAGTCGTCAGGAACTGGCGTAGTCAACGCAAAACAGTGGAATATGGACGCAGAATGTTAAAGATTACGAGTTATTCAATTATTTGAATACGTGTGTGGCACTGGGCAGATAACAGAGGAGAAGAATTATGAACACTTAAGCAAGACAGCATCGGCTGTGGTTACGTCCCTTTGGACAACGGCACACAATCTATATACCGAGCAATTTTAAGACGAAGCTCTGACAGATTGCCGGGTAAATATTGACTGAGGAATTGTGTGGATTCTAAAGCAAATAGTGGAGACGACGGGAGAGGTTGAACCTGCCTCTGCATCGGCTGTTCCGGGATCGCGGAGAAGCTCTCGATGCTGTGGCGAGTCCTACATAACTGTGAAGCACCAAGGAACCCGGTATTTGGTGTAGTCTTTGTACGTGAGGACGAGTCATATCAATGTAATTAACTAATCGGAATAAAAGGACGCAGGCGCTCAGAGCTGTGGGCTGTTCAACCCGCGGGTTACTCTGAGAACGTGGAAACTGAGTGGTCCTGGAGGAGATTGTTCCTATAGCAACCACGTAGCTCACGGGTGACCGATTGTTACCGCTGGAAGTCGATGACGTTGTGGGTGTGTGAGGGAGCGAAGATAAGTTAGGAGTTGACAGCGCGTGGATGGTGCATTAAAATAGGCCGCGATCATTTGGCGGCGCATTCATTCCTTTTAAACGCACGTGTTCGTCGTCTCGTTCGATAACACAGAAATGTCTGTCGTGAATGTAGCTTCGCCGGGTAACTTGGGATCCAGCACAGTCGCGCGTTCATGGCACAGAGTGAGTAAATTAATGCGTTTGGGGGCAGTTCTGTGAAATTAATTTAAATTTGGTTCGCGTCGGTGAAATTCAAATCCTGTGTTTCGTGAACGGTTCAGTGTTCAAAAAGTTGCGTGTTGCGTGGGATGTGGGCTCCTGAAGATCTGCAACGTTAATATGAAACGGTTTTCGATATGGAAAATACTTTTCGAATCGCAAGGAAAATTAATTGAAAGGGCTTTTGTTTGTTCTGGGGGCGCAGGGGAACTGATGGTCCGCATTCATTTGTTTCTCTCTCTCTCTCTCTCTCTCTCTCTCTCTCTCTGTTATTTGAGTCTGCGTGCGTTTCCGTATTCGTTTTCATAGTTCAGATAACCTTTATTGAAGATGTGTCAGTAATCAGGGATTAATTATGCGTGCTTTAGCGTGCCTTAAGACTTGTGGATGAAGTGAAGGAGTTCATACAGAGGATCATTGATTTTAGAAGGAGATGATTCGTGTCGTGAGATTTGCATCAGCGATGGGGCGAGAGGGACATGTAAACCCACAGGCAATGCATCTGGAAGGAAGAGTAGCTCGTCTTAACCAATGGCGGCTCGCGGCCTCTTCTGGATAATTCTGTGCTCTGATAATACCTTACGAAGGCTGCGTGTCTGTCGTTCCATCCACGGATCCTTTACGGTTTTAGAAATGTGTCCTACTGATTTTTCCTCTCGAGTAAAGCTTCATCCTGTACTTGTAATTGTACACACTAATTGACCACTGAGGTAATTACCGTTTGTTCTACGTTGTGTGTGATTAAGTTAGTTTCACTTTTCGGCGTGAGGGCTCAGAAGGAGAGCGGAAATAGTTTACGTAGAGGGGATATTTTACTGCAGTAGCCGTCTGTGTAGTGTAACTGTTCCAGACGCCGGTAAACATTTTGGCGTGTGTATGACGTCACAATTATAAAGCTTCATAGCGATTCTACGTTTAATTCAAAACTTACTCAAAGCCAAGAAGTGAACCACTTGAATAAAATATAACGCACTTTGCCAGTGAAAGCAGGTCTTAAAACACACACCGAGAAAGTTCAAGGAACTCACGGCGTGGACCCGCGTCGTCTGCTTGGCCAAAAGAGATGCTCTTGCGCGCGTGACATCGGAGCAGCGATGATTTCGCAGTGACGCGGGGATTGATATGAACACAAAATCGCTTTCAGAGACGTCGGCTGTCCCGCCATAAAGTTTCTGGTCCGAGTGGAAAAGCTTTGCCACGTGGACCGTCGTGTTTCAGGAAGCCATTTGAATGCGATTCCACCGATCCCGCGTTGAACCCCTAAATTGACAGGAGAGGAAATTCGCCGAAGTTTGGAGTGAACAGAATAAAATGCGCCCAAAGTTATAGAACTTGTTTTGATCTGTGAATTCCGTGCAAATAAGCGGCGAAAACGAGTAACTGTACACTCCTTGAAATGCTTCTCTCTGTGTCGGTGCTGGGAAGACAATTACACAACCCAGTTACGTACTCCCTCCCTCCCTTTCCCGATAACGCCTACGTTTGCGCGATACCAGATGAAGTTTCGTCTTGTCACCGCGGTTTCGGTTATTAACCCAAATAATTTAGCTCGTACAGAATCGCGTCCGATGTGCTGTGTGTTCAATGCCCGGTTCGTCTCTTTCCACTGACCAGTTCACGGGCCTCGCCGCGTTTACACAGAAAATTGCGATGTTCGTACAGAAAGTCACAGTAACGACTGTTCATAATTGTAACAACTGGCATTCACAGATCTGCAAATTCTGCAGTAATTCCGATAAACGTAGTCGGTTTCTTGTTTCTCGGAGTAAGAAACAACTTCGTTAAATCGGTTGCCGTGATAGCTCCTCGGGCGTATGGATCTAGCGAGCGCCGTTCAGGGCAGGATGCCAGAACTGAGCGCGTACCAGACGCTTCCGTTTATAGAACAGAACAAGAATCGATCTCTGCTGGAGAACTGATCGACTTTACATGGAAACAGTCGGGGCGCCGTGAGAACCAAATGACTGCCCGCCCTGTCCGTTGTTGGCTTCTGAGTCAACATCTGTCGCCTGTCTTTTGCAGTGTTTTCCGCGGTTTACGAGGGAAAATGAGCGCGAGGAACGAAGTCGTGGTGTGGCACTCGACCTGCCGCATCTGGCAAGTTTGTTTATTTACATATTGTTATGGCAAATACGTACAAAAAGGAGACCGAGATGAATGGAACAGGCATGGGACTGATGAGAAATCCCATCAACATATTAATTGGAGCAACATACATGAATATATCACGTGAGAGGCATTTGTAAGTGTCAGGATAATATTAAAATGTGTCACAAGGAGGCAGTAGGGATAAGGATGTGGAGTGAATTCAGTTGGGTGTAGTAGCGGGCTCGTGCGGGCACGGAAGGAAATTGATTGGGCGAATTGCATTATCAGCAGCAGCGTTGTTCCTTGCGACGCTACTAGCCCGCAGGCCCCAGTCAAAAAACACGTACCTATTGTCTCACGTCCACCCCGAAGATGGACGTAGTGTGCTCATCGAAACGTTGGAAGCATTTTCTAAAAACTCTGCGCCAGCTGCGAGAGCAGAAACACCACAAACTTCGGATGGCCATTAAAGCAGAAAAATTACTTTTGCTGTGTTTTTCAACGCCCGTTTTAATTAACTTGCAGAACGAAAAGTTTCGTTTGAAGCAGTCGCCCTGCTGTGCGCTTCAGAACGCAGATCGCCAACCTGACCACTTCCACCTGCGATGGCTTCCACTCGAGCCCACTGGGACTGGCCCAGTGCTTTATAGCCCTGTCTTGGTCGCACATAAAAGACGCGTTTGCGGGGCTGCCTACCGTCCCAGGGCGACGCCGACACACTATTATTTTTTTTATAGTTTTGCCAAAGGTTCCACACGTGAAAAGAGCGCGGCACGACCCTGCACGCAGATGGACTGCTCGGTGAATTTGTAGTAACCGTATCAGCTGCTGAAGTTATGTGGGGTCTGACGCGACACGGTAATAAGACAGTCGCCTGAAACAGTCTGCACGAACACACAGGAAATAATTAACAGCTTCAGCGAACGCAGTCGCTTTACAGCCTGGAATCGAACCAGAAATCTCTTGACTACGAGCCAGAATTTCGAGGTCGCTCTGGGGGTTCTAGTGTCGGATTATGGGCCCTTCTGTGCTCCACGGTAATAAGTGGGGCATGACAATGTTCGGTGCTCCATCACACATAACCGGTTGCTTTGATGACGAGTGGCAAACCCCTCACCACAGACACCAGATCTGCAACTGCTTTTGTCATAGAGGAAGTTTTAAATACGGAAACAACGAGGACCCCAGTGGGTGGTTGCAGATGAGCCTCGTGGTCCCAAGATATCTGCACCAAAAGTAGACCGGAAAAGTAAAGCAGTGGACAGTTTATTTTACAATGCTCACAGCATCACAAAGTAACATAGGACTGCAGTTACACGATGGACGTAATGCTCATTTGTCAGTCGGCAGTCAGCTTAACCGCGCAGGGAGTATTTGTTTATTTCTCTTACACTCGAGTTGTGATCTCACACCATTAGAACCGCTTGAAAAATTCTTA